GGGAGGATCCAGCCTGCTCTCTCGAGGGCTCCGCTGGCTTCGACGTGCCGGCTGGTTCGGGCATTCCCTTCCTTGTAGGAGGGGAATTCCTCACCGTGACCGTGAGACCAGTCCGCCCACTGTCAGAAAAAGGGTACCCCCAGCTGCCACCAGAGGGAACCCCAGATCTAGGCAGCGGCACGGGCACTCCGCCCCCTTGCAGGTAACGGAGTCTGGTCCGCAACTCCGAGATGGTCATGCCCCCGCACTGGGAGCATGAGTCATCCATGAAAGCCGCCGATCGAGGCAGCGATCGTGACCATCACCCGGTGCCAGGTAACGACCGCACCCAGAAACACACGTGTGTAAGACATCTTTAAAAAGACGCGTCTTCAAAAAGACGTTCCACCCGTGAAGCTCTTTTAGAATGGAAAATGCTCTTTTAGTGTGCTGAATAGAACCGCTCGGCTCCGAAGCGAAAAGCTGAATATGCGCTGCATCTGCTGCCTACTTATACTCACGCTGTGATCAGCAGCAGCTGGATGCAATAATTGCATGCCAATGTGCATTGGCTCGTTTAGTTTACACTCGAAGTAGATTGGTCTCTCTAAGCGAGATCCCAATTTCGTCTGTCATCCGACGTGACGTCGAGAGTGACCGACTGAAAGGTAACTATTTCAACATTGATAATCATAAGAAATGTTTCTTGAGCAGCAAATCAGCATAATAGAATGATTTCTGAAGGATCATGTGACTCTGAAGACTGGAGTAATGATGCAAAAAAATTTAGCTTTGCATCACAGGAATAAATTCCATTTTAAAATATATTTAAAAAGTAAATTTGAAAAATTTAATTATTTGAAATTTTAATAATATTACAATATTTGTATTAAATAAATGCAGCCTTGGGGAGAACCATAGTGAACTGTGGCTTTTTTGAACCCTTGCGTACATATATAAATATATATGCATATTGAATATATAAATTAATTCATAATTTATTTCATTTACGCATTATTATTGAAATAATCAATATTTTATTTGCTATTGTTACTTTCCTGATGATTTTGCCAGATGCTTTAGCAATATAAATGTAAAACGAAAAAAAGCTGTTTGTAATCAAGGTGATGTGCAAAAACCTTGAGCTAACGGAACAATGGCTAAGCTTTGGTATATAAGTAGATAAAACATACCCTATGACGACAATGACGAAATCCAGCATGTTCCATCCGTTTCGCACATACGCGTTCTGATGCATCACCAAGCCGTACGCTATGATCTTCAGGAAGGTTTCGATAGTGAAAATGATAAGGAAGGCATATTCGACTGTTTCCTGTGGGAGACAGAAGAGGGAGAGAGAGAGAAACCAATCAATAAGATGAACAGCTGCGGAGAGTGTACAATAAATTCAAAGACACATTACAGCTCACTGCCAAAGCTACGCAATCCTCCGTCAAACACAAACACACATTAACTTTTTTGGATTTGTTTGATCACATAATCATAACCACAAGACAGCTGAATGACTTTGTGCAGCCAATTTTTTCAGTCTAGGTCTTTCCAACCCAGGTGAACACAAAATTAATAATTTGAGAAAACAAGTGATTTAAACATTAATTAATTAGAAGAAACGCTCGTTTTTTTTAAAGTTTAAAGGGGTCATGAAATAGAAAAATTTAAATGTCCTTGATATTTACACATATTTAACAAGGCTCAAAGTTACGACCATTTTGGTCACATATGCTCCCGAAATGTAATCTGTGCGACCTCAAAATATATTTGGGAGCATTTGTGCGAGGGCATATAATTGTTGTCGTGTGACCTGTTTTCATATCTCTAAAAACGATCAGAGTATGTGCCTTCTGAGTGCTGATACGGTGAAGTGCCTAAAGTTACAAATAATGGTGCTGGTGATAGCGATCATGTGGTGAATGTTGATCCACCAGCCGAAAAGAAGGCGTACAGTTTTCGGAGAGAATGGTTGAAAGACTTCGAGTGGCTTCGCTATGAAAATGCAATGTGCTCTATGCACTGCATTCACTGTAAAGCCTGTGGGACGGAGTTTGCAAGTAACAGCGTTCGCCACTGAATCTACACATTTCGTAATTGTTGTTTTACGATGTGCGGTTTGACATTATCGAGTATATTGCAAAATCCAAACAAAACGTGCACGCATACATGACGTGATGAAGTCTAGTAGGTTAGACTAGTGCGCATGCGCATTTAGAGTGCATTCTTTCGCTGCATGATTCATTCTATTAAAATGCATCACAAAATTCAAGATATGGGGCCTTTATATCATTTCATATAGTTAATCAATACCACAAGAAGAATGCCGTTTTTTCCCTAAAAAAATCAGCATGATTACAAATGTGATATTGATTTTATACAACTGTTCAATAAGCAAGAAGTTAATATTAAGAGACTTACGTTTTAGACATCATATTGCCTGTTTTTGCTCTATTTCGCCAAGAAAAATAATTCAAAACTAAGCCACCGCTCTGTTTTGCGTCTCTGAGCAACATGACGGTGTCTCGTTCCTGAATGAATCAACCGTTTAAATGATTCGGCTCAATCGCAATGACTCACTTATTAACAGTGACTTGCTGAACTGACCACCACACAGAATATGAAGAATATCAAAAACTTTAGGAGTCAGCTGTCCACTGTAGTCCTTAAGATATCAGCACAGTAACACTCAGTCAAATTATCATTATCGATAAAATCCCAGAAAATATAGAGATATAATTTTGTCAATATCACACACCCCTAGCCACCCCTAACCTGTTCCATGCAATTGGCAGGGCTGAATGTAAAGTTTAACACTGCATACACCATCCTAACCCTCGCCAAAGAAGAGCTCTCTCTCTGTGTTTAACCAAACTCAGATTAACTTTAGGTTGTTTACAAAAGAAATCTGTCAGTGTTCTTTTCATTTTCTCTCTTCTTCAGCCCATTCTTTTTCTCACCGTAGTAAGCGGAAAGCAGTGAATGAGTGATTGACAGCTAATATAAACCAATCTAAAATCTGCATTAAAGTAAAGAATAAAATCTGTTAATATATAATTTGTAGTTGTGGTGCTCATTAATTTTTGGTGAGTGCTTCTAACTTTTTGAAGTTGGGAGCACCAGTGCTACAAAGTAAAAAAGTTAATTTCGAGCCCTGTTTAAGGAAGCTTATAATATAGAAGGCAATTGTGACTTTTTACTTCACAATTCTGACTTTTTTTCCTCTCAATTCTGTGTTTATATCAAATTAATATGAATTATGAATGAATTCTGAATTATTAAATGGCAGACAAAAACTCTAAATTGCGATATACAAATTTTAGAATTTTAAGATATAAAATTATATTTTAAATAATTTAGAGTTTATTTCTTGCAATTTTATCAAATTTATCAAATCTGAATTGTGAGATAAAAAGTCACCATTCTTTTTTTCTTTTTTTTTTACAGAATTGCGATATGTGAACTTACAATATAAAAAAGTCAGACATAAACTCTGAGAAAAAAAATCTGAATTGTGAAACACCAAGTCACAATTATCTTCCCAGTACTCTATAATAAAATAAAAAATATAATAAAAAAGTGTTAGTCACATAAAATAACGATTGAAAATTTTCTTTTTTTTCACGTTTTCTGATGCTAAAAACTTCATAAGCTAGAATCTCCATATCACATCCAGAAACATAATATAAATTATCCTATATATCATCACCCTTTTAAGTCCGTGTCTTAGAAACTGTACAAGCATAAACAGATCAATGACAGCTGAAATTGTCATTGAATATGTGTTATGAGGGAAAATATCGTTCCATGTGATTTGCCTTTTAATTACACCTCAACAATAGTGCTACACTACGTTACTAAAACTGAAAGCGTAGTGTTTTTGAAGCATTAAAGCATGCGGCTCAGTCGTGACAGTGGCTAGTGGGTTGTTTTCTGTGCATTGATGGTGTTAGACACAGCCATTTAACTTGTCAAATAGCATCTCTTTATACAAACACACACACAGACTCAAGCTTTCTCCTTTATGTGTGTGTGTGACAGCTGTGCAAAGGTTGCACAATGAAAGAGGTTAGTTGGCGTGTGTGCGTTTAAGTGTAAGGACATTTGGGAAGCTTTTATATGCTGTGGGCCTCGTTTTGCCAACATTTTACAGACGACTGAATGGAGCACTTAGCCCTGTGTATCAGAGAAAGAGCCTTTTGTTACTGCGGGAAAAAAGTAACCCGGGCTCACTGATCCTGCTACTACAGACAGAGACAGAGAGAGTTACAGTGGGTACGGAAAATATTCAGACCCCCTTAAATTTTTCCCTCTTTGTTATATTGCAGCCATTTGCTAAAATCATTTAAGTAAATTTTTTTTCCTCATTAATGTACACACAGCACCCCATATTGACAGAAAAACACAGAATTGTTGACATTTTTGCAGATTTATTAAAAAAGAAAAACTGAAATATCACATGGTCCTAAGTATTCAGACCCTTTGCTGTGACACTCATATATTTAACTCAGGTGCTGTCCATTTCTTCTGATCATCCTTGAGATGGTTCCACACCTTCATTTGAGTCCAGCTGTGTGTGATTATACTGATTGGACTTGATTAGCAAAGCCACACACCTGTCTATATAAGACATTAC